CATGGACGGCACATTACTATGTGATAGATTTTTATTTAGATCTGTCAAAACAAGAAACGCCTAAAATAATAACGGTAAAAATAATTAAAAAGATAAAAGGCAATTTGAATTTAAATAATAAGCTTTAATCGTCGTTTCTTTGTTTTATAGGTGAGAGGATACTTATCAATTTGTTACTTGATAATTAGTGAACCTAAATATGTATTTTATGTTGAATAAAATCTTTGTTTTACTAAGCAACACGTGGCTTATTTCAAAATTCCAAATCAATCCTCTTATAAAGCGTTTTACATAAATTTGAAATCCCCAACCAGTATTTAACAAGCGTGGTTATTATTGCTCCAACCTTTTCCGTGCAGAAAGAGGCCTTTAGTCAGCAGTGGACTTATAGGCTGTTCATGTGATATGAATTTAGACATGGAAGAAAGAGATATAAACTGCTTAATAGGAATGAAAACTAGATAAACAGCAGGTCTTTTTGGTAATTTCAATTTTGCCTTGCAAGCAAAATTTAGATTTGAATTATTATTCTATTGGACAAGGAGCCATATAATGAGGATTCGGTCGGTACTCAATTGGGTGCGTATTGACAAAATACCTATAAGACTGATGTGTTATTGGAAAGTCATTGCTCTCAATAGTAGAAGAGCCCATGAAGGGATTTCGGTAGTTATTCGAGCGCATTAGTTGAACATATGGGGAAAATCTAGTGTGTTGTTGAATATACTGAACCCGATCTGATTAGAGGGAGGAAATATAAATTTAAAAAAAACTTACTAAATATTCGATAGTAAACTAAAGAAAGTACATTTAAAAATGTACCCTTTTAAGCGTGATTTCTAAGAATAGGAGGGTTTTGAAAACTTCTCGTTTATACCCTCCAGAACAGTCAACCCCACCATGTAAATTATCAATAACTAACACGCTCGACCACAGAACAAAATATACGCTAACAATTGTAAAGATCTGTGGATTACCCCTTCCTCCACTGGTGGTAAGAAATGTCAATGAAATGAAATCAAATCATTTTTTCTTTCTATCACCATATCTTCAAAATCGAGTAGGTAGGTCCCTACAACGCAGTACATCCAAATTTAGCATAGTGGCCCCCTACTACAAAGCAGAGTTGTACTAATACTTTACCTGATTTTGTGTATGACCTACATATGTCACTCATTTTGTTAGATTACATTTACCTAACATGGACAAAATCATTCTATTTTATCAGTGCCTCAGCCTCTTTTACACTATTCGTATCAAGTTTTGTCAGTTCTTTACCAATATGTTTCCTAGGTATCTATGCTATGTCACGTTATATATATAATAATAGGTATTATTGAAAAATTCGCAACAGCTTTGCAATGGCATAAGATATAAATATTTCGTCAGTGCTGAAAAATAACCTTTACACAGGCACAGATTTAGTAGCAGCATTATTCGGTTATGAGTCCATACCAGACAGTACATATAAAACAAAGCTTATTGCTATAAAACAAACAGTCATTTCTAACACATTAAAAAATCTTAAATAATATTTTTTCTAGTCTGGCAATCAAACCCAAAAATCTGGCAGATGCCAAAATAATACCAGAAAAGGACATCAAATCAAGATTTCTCAGACTGTTACCATACTTGATTATGCTCTATTATATCTAATTTTAATAATACCCATTAATAATTTAGGTACTTAGTAGTGTGCTTTTTCTTATTAAATGATTGGTTCTGTTTTCGTATTATTTAATGTGGTTCACGGTTCACACAGACGAAATTGGTGTTTTTTCTAATTTGTGACTTTGATTTCATTACAATTTTAAGTCATGTATACTCAGGGTCCATATCGACGGCCAAAGGGAGATAAGCCAATTTAAAAAGAAAAATATCGCTTGTCCTCTTTTGGCCGGAATCCATCGATATTATTACTTAGCAACAATTCAACAATAGGTTCGTGTTATCAGTATTTTTTTATCATAAACAATGAAATGATTTTCTTTGAAGACACCAATTAAACAAAACTGTATGTATAATTATAATTTATAATAAATTGCGAAACCCTCTCTGAATGATGTAAATAATAATTACACACTAACTTCACATGTTAAGGCGTACCTACATAAATTACGTAAATAGTAATACTGTCTATACAGGGCTATGAAGTAAATAGATACACGACTCATTATCAAATACACAAGTTTACAAACTTTGCAATATTAATCGCCACAGTCGCAGCACTGATGCTCAGCTTCACCTCGTTGCTGTCGCCGCTACTGTATCTATACTTACTAATATATAAAGCTGAAGATCTGTTTGTATGTTTGTTTGGGAACGCTAATCTCGAGAACTTCTGTTTCGAATCGAAATTCATTTTGTGTAAGTTAGTCTATTATTTTGTCGAGGAATATTACACTGGGTGTCTAGTAAATAGTGCACCATTCTGTGAGGGGAGATAGCTAGTAACAAAACCTATCTAACCAACCCAATATGTGTTTAGCGAAAATGTACGATTTACAATTATACCACAATATCTTCTGCCAGCGGCTTTGCCCGCGTTCCCATAGGACAAAATGTTGTATTCCAGATCGTACTCTACCCCTGTTCCCTTTGATCCCTTCAGCCGTTCTGACATGAAATAGTAACAAATGCACACACATACATCCTCACAAACTTTCGCATAATACTATAATTTAATATTAGTAGGAAGTAGGATTTTCTCAAATACCGAAAAATCACTTTTTTGACATACATATTTTTGCCTATTTCAGTGAAAATTATTTTTAACAAGTTTAAGTATTCGTTGATAAATGCATTAATTGGTATATTAAGTCTTTTTATACCAAGAATAATAAAGTTTTCAGGAAAACCTACTTCTTGTGTCAGTTTTCGAAGAATTGTTCTTGCCGCTCAACTTTATCTCATAATAGTGAAAAATCCCCTCACTGTGTAAAATTTAATTATTTTGTTACCAGGCAACGAACAAAAATGGAAGTAGATGAAGCGGCAGGTATGCTAGTGCACAGTATCGTGTCATGGTGAGCCATATATATATATATATATATGTGATGTTGCCATTCTCTATTTATTTAACAGGTACTCAGGTAAATCATCATATCACCTCATTAAAATGGCTATTTCAGAAAATTTTAAGCTAGTTTAACAGTATTTAATTAATAGGAGTCAGGATTTCGTAAAAAAAACACAAAATTTACATTAATCTCTATTAAAACATTAATACAATATTCATCAATGAGCGAATCAGTAAATGATTAATACAATTAGTACTAGTTTAAGACAGTAAATTATTCTCAATTATGTATGTAAATATAAATCTGGCCATTATATTCCGAGGCCCATATTAGAGGTTGCTCAACCAGTGAATCGAACCGACACAAAAATATCGAGTTTGTCAAATAAGTAAAGTATATAAAATATATAAAATCATATAGAAATTAATAAAATTACATTGAGGGTGGACTTGGCCATTAATCTGCTATTTATTATTTTTAGAATAAAATCAATACCTAACAGTATTTCAAAAACTATATAGGTAAAACAAAAATTCAAAATTAATTATCCGTTAAAGTTATCTAGATAACGCTGGAAAAATCAATCCTAAATGGCATCAACATCACGCCTTAATTTATTCAAAAGTAATATGGAACATTTTCCAAATATAAATACACTAAGCGTAATTCCAGATTTCGCACATTTATAAAAAAATCCAAAATTCTAAAGCTCTTAATTACTTACTTTACTTGACCCAAGCCTCGAGTCGATCAAAACCATTCGACTGTTGACTCAAATCAATAATAACATTTAGAAAAAAGTACACGAAAAACGTAAGTGTACAATATTACAAAAGTTACAATTCGGATGATTGATCCTCTACTAAGTATTCAATACGATTTACGAATGGTGACGAAATGACCATTAAAAACAGGAGGTCTACTCTGATTCGACGAAAACCAAAGTTTCTTCCAAAGTAGGCACATTTTCTACCACAATTCTATATTTTACGAAGTTCATGAACAAAAATTAATTGAAATAAGCAGAAATTAGTATGAGATGTACTGAAGTACGTTTAATTTTCGGAACCCTACTCCCATTGCATAATACCCCGCACGAACGAAAATTCGAGTTTGCCAGATTATTTTTCGGACGTTTAATGTCGACGAAACCAAAATATGTAGGTAGTTGTCGTTTATTTTCATATTAGTTATTTTTAATGAGAAATGAATGAAAGTATATACATATCTTCTTTTAATCACATTTGCTTCGTGTGAGCAACACGTAGGACACCAGAAAAACGGCCTTAAAGGCGATATAAAATTAGTGTACAGATAGCTCAAATGGTTGTTAACACAAACCTATATGTTTTACTAGCTTTAGCCCGCGACTTCCTACGGGTGGAATAATAACTTCTGGCAAAATTCATTAGCGGCCGCAAGTCAAACGAAACTTCACATTCGAGAACCGGAGTAGACGTCCCGCATTCCTTTTATTCCACGAACAACACATTGAATATACATATCTAACTTACCTATGTACCAATATTATATAGAACTACGTGGTATGTAAATATTGTAAAATGTAATAAATATTGTAAAATGACTTTCAAAAGACCCGAAAGATCAATTTGGAAAATACTGAGAATTCTTTAATGTTTTACCTATGAGGTCACGAAAACATTCAGATTATTATAATGATAAATCCATTAAAAATACGTACACATTTCACATGTTAAACAATTATATACAAGGTGACTTGTAACTCAGCGTATTCTTCACGGGAGGTGAAAAATTCCGATGTAAGTACTTATTATACAAGGTGCTATATAATTATCTGGCACGGCTTTAATGGGAGGTAGTGATATGTTTACAGATTACAATAGTGAAGAAATTTCGTACCCCGGACCAGTTAATAAAATTTCAGAAAATAAACAAAATTAAGTAAACAATGCAGTCATTGTTTACTTAATTTCTTTATTTTACATTATGCTGAATACAGGTATTCAGCATAATGTGGTTCACAAATTACGCGCGATGCATCGCCTAGTCAATGGAAACCATCTCTTTCCACGTGTACTGAGAATGAAAACAGAAATCAGCTGACTAGTTCGTCACTATCTAATGTAATCTCCATATGCAGGCTAACAAGTGCAATTACTTACTAGGTACGACATTCTTCCGAAAAGCTGATGTAGGTAAATAAGATAATAAACTTCCCATCACACTTAAAACAGGCTTTGCACTGTCAGGTTAGCGTAGGAACCGTATTTTTTAATTTAAATTAATATCAAATAACGATAAACTGTAACTTAGCGTATTTTAAAGTTAACAATCTTATTTACAACAATTGCATCGTATTTACAGTTATTTACACACTCCCTACCTACTTATCCACATAACTCTTGCACAAGTCCACCTTCGCGTTGCACACAAATGAAGGCACGCTTCCGAACATGTCATATCACACTATTTAATGTGTTACCCGAGAGGAATACTTCGAGTTACAAGTCACCCTGTATGTGGTCATTGTAGTAATATTAGTAAGTCCCCATCAGTGGTAAAGATTCGTATTAATTTAGTAGAATACACCTAGCCAAAATTATTTGGTAATAATGATTAGGAGTAGGTATATGTGATTTGGCGACCTGAGTCTCTACAATGGTCAAATACCAGTTGGCAACTTTAGCTGCACTTGAGGGCATGTCCGTAGTCCTGGTTTCTGATACGCCAAATTTCGCGGTTATGTATGACTGGTTCGCTACCGCGTTGCGTAGATACTGGTTGCTCATCCGACAACGCGTGCGCACTCTACGGTATAGACTGCCTATGTTAGCTCCTGCTTTTTTGGCAAACTCAAAATTTTACTGCCAAAGCGCTCTTTTCAAGTTGGACTGCACGACCATGACGCCCACCACGACTGGGCGTGTTTTCTCTAGTCTGTGCAGTGTGCAGCTTTGATTGTATGTGCGGTTTGGCAGCGTGTAGGCTTTCTACTGAATGGATTGTACGTGCATGAATTTTAGCTTACATTGCCCGTGCCCTATTTGCAGGTTCAAGTCGGTTGGTCTGAACTTGATCTGGCCGTAGTTTGAACTATATAACTTTACAGTCAGCATAGGTATTTGGTACTAAATCACCTTTATTTTCTTATCCGCATATCAAATAACTGTCTACATCTTTGAATAAATAATATTTAGATAGGATGTCACCATGCAATAGCAACAAAAATGGCATTGCTAATTTTTATTTTGCCGTGTGCATGGCACGTAGTGGTGCCTTAGTGACACGGTTGGTATTACTTGACAGGCAAGTTTTGCATTGCAATGAACAGTTCAATGCAATATTTTTCTGCTTTTCTTGAAGTGATACTATCTAGACATTACGTAATCAAATGTGTACATTGTAAATGCGCGCTTTTTCACTGCACGCGCTCTGTCTAGTGCTTGCATTGTACATTTCTACGATGTTTCTTGGACTACGCAGTTCTTTCAGTCCGACGAGTAGTTCAAGCCGGAGCTTGAACTGCTTGTATCTTGGCTATACCTATCACTGTACGCTAATTGGCTGCAGTAAGGACCGCGCAAGTCTGTTACATTGCTAGGAGTGCTCGAACTCTCCTTGCAGCTTGAACCGAGTGCACTTCCCCTGCTACTTGCACTGTATGTGCTACCACTGTAGCTAGCCCCACGGGTGCGTTGACTGCACAGGCTTGGACTATGCGTAGATCGGCTACTGCCTTGAATACACGCAATCTGGTTTCTGTTGTTATGGGATGTCTTATGATGGCAGACGGGATGCCTTTGATTCTGGCTGGTACTTGGATGGTGCGTGGTTTGGAGGCTATTTTGATCACGCAGGCTGTTGCTTCGAGTATACGCACTCTGACTTGCTCTTGGGTTATGCGCGCGTTGGCCGTTGCTTATATTGCGAGTATTCCGGTTATGGTATCGACCGAGTCTGTCTAGGTTGTGACTTGGATTGCATTCGCTTTGGTTTCTACTGTTTTCGCTGCTTTGGCTGCGCGAGCTTTGACTTAAACTTCGGTTACGTGCGCATTGGTTGCAGCTACAATAACTCCATGCGCGCTGTCTGTTACCAAAATGTCTTCGCACTTGCCGGTTGCGGCGTCGACGGCGCATGCACTGTCTGCTGTTCTGATGTTGTGTTTGCCATCTGATACTACGATGGCGCGCAGATAGGCTTTGCCTGCAGAGACTATGCTTACACTGGCTGTTTCTGCAACGACTTACATATCGCCTGTGATTGATTCGACTGCGTGAGCGCTGTCTTTGTGTACTGTGGCTTCGCCTTCGCCGTCTACTTCGGTTATAACAATTTCTGCGTGTCCGCTCTCTGTTACGACTACGCGTGCTTCGTCTGCTTTTACGTCTGGTACGCTGTTTGGCTTCAAAGTGATTAGAGCAGTTACTAGAACTGCAACGATGCCGAGGCTATTTTGAACTAGACAGTTCTCTAAGACTACATTGACGCGTTGACGTATCCGACGTACTTCCGGGACTCTTCGTAGGGCGGGTTATTGTGCTGCTGTCACTGTTTATTTCCATGCTTTGTCTGTTCATTTTATAAATTAGTCTTACGTTCAGAAGTGATTCACTGCCGTTTATAGCTCCTTGTGTTTCACCACTAGACAAAATTAACGTTTTTATTATAATATGGTTACTTTAACTTTATGACGGTTAATATTTATTATATATATATTTATTAGTTCTTAGCGTTAAAATATAGACGTGTAACAACAAATAAGTGAATGCAAATTTAACTCGGTTGGTGTTGTTAAAGTAGTTGGTTGTAGTGATAAGATACTTTTAAGGTAAGGAGATTAGTTTTGATTGGTAAGATTTAAGTAATGTAGCATAGTTGGTATCAGCGTAGTGTTTGGAACGTATCGTATTTAGGTACTGCCTTTGAGAATCTTCATTCTACAGGGTTAAGTTTGCTCAGATTCTGCAAATGGTTATAAGTAGTATATATAATTTTAGATAGATTTTGCTAGGGTATCAGGTACTCTTTTCAAAAACAAACATTAAACAATTTTGCCACCTGGGGCTCGAACCCAAAAAAAATCTCCTTAGAAATATTTTTTTTTTACCAAATAAGGTAAGGTGCTTACCGTTTATATTCACCAACGATGAAACTGTAGTCCACAAGACACCTGGTGACCCTGAAACAGAATTACAATAAATCTGTAAAAAGTACAAAAACTTCACACACAACAGAACTCCAGCGCCAACTGTCCTTGGTCAGGAATTCATGAAAAAGATATTGCAATCAATTAAATTTAGAGAACATTTCATACTAAATGAGGCCACGTTTACGATACTTGGGGATTAAAAACTATTGCTATTAAAAATAAGTGAACTTACCCAAGTGTAGATTGAGAAAAAAAACGAGTGAAGTTTACATGAGCCACACAGTAACTTTAAAGAAGGAGCGTCGAAGAGTCTAAAACAATCTGAAAAGTAACAAAAACATAGTTGAAATATCGGAACAAGTATACTTCTATTCTGAAATCTAAAAATTGTATTGTTTCGTGTGCTGCTTCCAGGGGTACGTACCTACTTCGCTCAAAATACTTGCTTGCGATCGTTGGAGTAAGAAATGCAAATTACGCGGTAAGGATTCAAATAATATAAGAATACTTACACCATTGAAGATTAATATAAAATGAACAAATCTGGAGCGACACAGGACCTCTGAACAGTATACATCGAAATACGATCTGAAAAATATAAATAAAATAATTCAAACATTAACAACAATGGTAGGTGTTCAGGATTCTAAAATTATTAATTTATAATTTTCGTTAATCGTGTACCATCCTATACCATAAAAACAGAATGGACCTTACCTTAGCTTCTAGGTACTCAAATACGCCTTCAGTCCACCCAAACTCAAAACGGCGTGACAAATTGGTCGAGGGCTCAGTTTCGGGTGTCTGCAGATCTGCAATGCCGTAAAGCGGATGTAAAGAATCACTCAATCGATCACTGCGGTCATGCGCTGTGCTAACTCCCGGGCAGACATTGCAGGTGGGCATTGACTTTGTTTTTATTTCCTTCTCCTATACAGTTGTGAAATTAAAAGTCTTTTTTTCCTGAGTTACCACAGAATGATCTCAATGAAAGTGTATTGAAGAATCAGAAAAAGACAATAAATTATATCATCAGATATCAATTATGTACCTTAGAGGTTATAAGGTACCTTCGCCTTGCCTTCGTTTTGCAAGTCCACAACACAAAAAGCACAGTCACAGCTAATAGATTATCAAAAATAGCACAAAAGGAAAGTATTTTGTTATTATTTAAAATTAGGATCGTTAAAATTACCAGCGGCAGGTCTGATTGCGCGAGTTTTGCCTACTGGAGTAAGGAGGTACGGGTGAATTGACGCCTGCGTATTGCACTTGCTTTGGTACTGCGCAATAGCGGAATCGAAAGTTCTAGCAATTTCGTTTAAGTATGTACATTTTATAGTACAAACGTGTGTATATTTATTGATGAAAAGGGTAATGGACAGTATTGATGCAAAGACACGTATCGCACAAATTTCTACTTTTTTTATAATTCGAAGACTTCTCTTAGAACGATATCATTAGGGTGATACAATGGCCTACTGTCCTTGATGCGTCGTTTGACGCGACACGTTGCCACTTCGGGGATAGTTTTCATTATTTTTAATCAAGATATAATGATTTGCAATTTCTTTTTATGTTAAAATTGTTTTATTTTCCTCAGACTCGACTCGTGTCCGTGCACAGTATAGTAGCAACATTAATATTAGTCATTTGTGCTCCATCTATTGTAATTTGTAAGGTGCATGCATTCGTTTAACAAACAAGGCTTGTTAACATTAACAGTACTGCTCCTACTAACTTAACATTTCAAAGAGAATGCCCAAAGAGACCTAGAATCGATTAAAATCATTTATGCACGATATAATAGGCCAGGAGCTTCCAGTATATTATTACAATTCTGTATGGGCGCGTGAATAATTGACATATTTTTTAGTTTTATATTTGTTCCTAGATTAATGAAAGCTATGAAGAATTCCGATAATAATTATATTTACACACATTACAAGCAATTTCCTCAAAGCTGTAAGATTTCCCAAGATTATCACATACCAAGATATGATTTTATTAAAAATCCAGTATAAACTGACTGTTAAGTCTGCGGAAAGATCATAAAAACGGGACTTATTTTTCTATTACTTGGTGATGGTATCATTGAAAACAATGATTGAATTTGGGATATACATTACCCTGTCTCATATAAATTATTTTTATCGATTCTAGGTTTTTGCTCTATACATTTTTAGGTATTGTTCTTTAAGCATTAAATTTATGTATGATATAATTCATGAAATACAAAAAAAGTAGGGGAAGTATGATGTAGGTGTGGCACGTATTCTGTCAACGGGTGAAGTCACACGTCCTATAATAAGATTTATTGCGTTGTTTGGTTTTGGTGTGAAAAAATAAAAGTAACACAATTAATATTAAAACTAGTGGTGTCTCATACCACCAGTAAGTACGATTTTATTTATTTTCTTACTAGCTGCCATTTAATAGAACTCTGGAGATTCCAAATATATCAGTTAGTGTTAGATAATTTACCTATTTGGTAGTAATGCGAGCACTGGCTATTAAGACAGTTTTATTTTTAGTTTCAAATTTCTTTACATGACTTTTTTATATGTATTTCTAATATGAATGGCCCGTAGTCTACATTTAGTAGAAAAAGAAATCCTTCTTACAATTGTTCCCGTTCTTATGACATATTTCTAAGTTTTAGTTCATTTTAAAATGAGGTAAAACTTACTGCATGTTGAATTATTTATCTTAGCTGCATCAGGGATCTGGGACTGTACAAGAAAAAATTCGAAATTGAGTAAACTGAATATATTTTGTTCATGAACTAGATTCTGCACGCGGCTATTGTTATATACCGCGAGCAGAATCTAATCGCTAGTATTAGTATATGTGTATTGGTTTATTGACAACAAATTGAAAAACTATTTAAATCAAAGAAGATTTATGTTTTTGTAGTCCGATTGGGTGTTTTTCAACAAAACCGAAAATGATGAATTTCTCAGAAACTTTCAGACCAGAGACCTCAGGGCAAAATTTGTAGAAAATTTGTTGTATTATCACCTTCCGCGAGAAATACGTCGAGTTACAAGTCACCCTACATTCAAACTCAAAAGCATTTATTTCGATTAAACCATATTTTGGTACGTTTGAAACGTCAACAAATTTAAAATAAATAATAGTCAGTCAGTCTGTCCGTCAGTGAAGGTAGGTGTTTGCAAAGACGTTGACAGCAATCTAAATAAAGCTATCATTAGAGGGGGAACAAAAGTTAGGAGGATTTCTTGACTACTAACTAAAATATTTGGAATATCCCGAGTTCTATCAAAAAACTAATTACACAGGGTTGACTATTAATATAAGTCCTTGAAAACCCACAGTCTTACATTTTTGTCGGTCAGGGTCGGGGTTTGCCGATCGCCATTAATATGATTGCCTAATATACAAGAAAATCATTGTAATAGGTTTATTAGATTGCATATATACTTTAGATATTTAATTTGCACAATATTTATTAGCAGGTTTCCTAGAGCCGGTAGCATTAAAGAAAAATTTATAGATGCAACCAGCGGACTTTTGAGATGCTTCTAATGATACACCATTTATTAAATTATGATCCATAGTTTAGGGGTTAGGAGAGGGAACAGATGAACATACATATATTTTTTTAAGGGGGAAAATCATCGAATGGCTTCTTCCGCCTGGGTGAGGCGGGAGGTAGTGTCAGACTCTTACTGACTTAAAACCACCCCGTTCCTTCTCCTGCACTTCGAACCGGAGTCCCGGTAACCCGTTAGGTTCTCGAACATACATATATACCGGTCAAATTCATAATCCTCTTTTTGGCTCTATATTAATGCAATTTACAAGTGACGCAGTTTTTAATGACCTTTTTTATTCGTTACGTTCTGTCTCTTTTTCTATCAACCCTTTTTTTCTTAACCTTCAGGATGTTGTTTGCCGACCGACCGGCTGGTCAGCTGGAGATTAACTACTAAAGTCTGATTTTTAATTCGAGTCAGTAAAATGACAGGGGCAACTGTCACTTTCACAAAAAAGGGTGACCCACTACAATAGTGATGTTCCACAATCGACCGACTTAGAAGTTCAGTCATGATTTATTTTATTAGGTATCAGAGCGTTGTTTTTATTGTAAATATTTAAAGCATAACGTATTAAATAATACAATTTTAGAAATATGAACCTTCCCAGCTTATTAAAACTTCTCACTACAACATTATTAGAAAAGATGGGGGATTCAGAGGAATCAATAATGGAAAGTAAGAATAATACAAGTAATTTTATAGGTTTTTATTCATAACGGTTGCGATTCCGAATCCGATTCTGAATCAGTATATTCAGAATCGGAATCGGAATCAGTTACATTTATTATAAATGAATCCACACATTCGTCTATGATGTGGTCGAGTTGGCACATTTTGTCTTTGACTTTTATTGCATGGTTGATGCACTGTCGCCAATTTTCAGGTGTCACTTCTTTCACACCTTCTTTAAACAACTTTTTTACGTCTTTTATTTTAAAAGTTTTATTGTTCCTGGCGACATACCCCTTTGTTTGAGCCCAAACTAACTCTATTGGGTTGAGCTCACAGTGATAAGGGGGCAGCCGCAGGATTGTGACACCATATTCAGCGGCCAACTCTTCCACAGCATAGCGTTCGTAATTCGATTTGTGGGATTTTACAATCTCTATTAATTCAGCTTTTATCATCCTAGGTTGAAATTGAATATTTTTTTCATTCAACCATTGAATTATAATCATCTTTCCGCCAGTTTGAAGTGGGGATAAGCTCGACTTTTCTAGAATGATACGGCGCGTTATCTAGTACCAGCACCGCATTTGGCCTTAAATTTGGCAACGTAACGTAACAAAACAACGTAACAAAAAAACGTAACAAAAAACTCAACAAACAAATAAAAAGTAAGAAATAAACAAGAAACTGCAGAGGACACTAAACACTTCTGACACCGTCGGAATTCGGAAGCAGAATGAAAAACAAAATGGCGTCCATGGCGTCATAAGTGATAGTACTGCCAATAACAAAAAAAAATATAACAACAGTATTTTATGTAATATATTATTACATGTCTTCAGTTTAATTTCCGTAAATTACGTATTTATAATGTATGTACAAATAAATAAATAAATGTAATCTAGACTAACTTTTAATTCTCGATTTAAAAATCTCGATTTTCCACATCACTATTTATTTGAGACCCTATTTTTTTAAAACCGTGCAACACTGGAAATGTCATTTTACTGACTCGAATTAAAAATCAGACTATACATATGTTTATAGAGTGTAGTACAGAAATAATTTGATATAATTTGGTACAAATGGGATCGATATAAGAAATCGGGTAAATAATATGATAGTTCGTAGATTTAGGATATGTTTGTACCATTTACCTACTAAAAAAATACAGTCAGATAAAGGAAGTAATAACAAAGTTACCAAAGTGTACTTCCGACGTTATTCAGCAAGAACGTGGTATAATTGTGTGATCGCGACTTCCCCTCGCTGCAGCCCGTTTATCGATCACCCTACGTGTACCAGTCGCGTCTAACAAACAAAAGCGTTGGTTTTATAACGGGGGTTCAAAATGCTTGTACCAAAATTGCCACTACATAACTTCAGGGTTCCATAGGATTGGCAACTTTTAGTACTTTAGCCTACGTCAGTTAAAAATATCAAATGTATACTAGTGGAAAACAATTAAAACATTATTACAAAAAATAAACACGCGAGTTGGAAATAAGTTGACGACACGAGACGGTGGCCAAACTTATCAAGTATATAAAAAAAAGTTTTATTCTGAATTTAATAGTACATTAATTATGCCGAGGTTTGTGGACCGATTTCCGTGATTCTTTATCAAATAGCTGACATTTGGTCCAAAAAAATTGATCCACTATAGTTTAGTAGTTTTTACATTATAAGCATTATAATTACTTAAACGGTGCCATTTTAACGATATTCCGTATATTTGTACATCAATAACTTAAGTATGTCTGATTCGATTTGCGTGATTCTTTTTATGTTCGGTGGAATCTACTTTAAAGATGTTACTACTATCGTCTTACATGACACTTAACAACAATAGATGACATGGACACGAGGCCATTAACCGATGCTGAGAAAGCAAAGGTTGCCGAGCTCGGTAGGGAAATTTATGGCATCAATTTTCCATTAATCTTTATTATGACGATAGTTTGAAACAACCTATCAGCGCACGG